GATCCTCTTGGAAAAGGAGTGCCTGGAGCAAGGGGAGGTTGGATCCTCTGGAAAAGTAGTGCCTGGAGCAAGGGGAGGTTGGATCCTCTGGAAAAGCAGTGCCTGGAGCTCCAGGGGTTGGGACACGGCCGAGGAACGCCACGGGAATTCAGTGTGGGGTTGTGGGAAGGGAAACAATCCCTGGGGAAGGGATTTGGGGAAGGGAAAACAATCCATGGGGAAGGGATTTGGGGAAGGGAAAACAATCCCTGGGGAAGGGAAAACAATCCCTGGGGAAGGGTTTGGGGAAGGGAAAACAATCTCTGGGGTGGGGATTTGGGAAGCAAAAACAAACCCCAACAAAGGGATTTGGGAAGAGAACACAAATCCCAAAACAGGGATCGGGGAAGGGAACACAAATCCCAAAACAGGGATCTGGGAAGGGAACACAAATCCCAACACAGGGATCTGGGAAGGGAACACAAATCCCAACACAGGGATCTGGGAAGGGCAAACAATCCCTGGTGTGGGGATTTGGAAAGGGAAAACAAATCCCTGGTGCAGGGATTTGGGAAGGGGACACAACAGGGATTTGGGGAAGGGAAAACAATCCCTGGGGCAGGATTTGGGAAGGGAAAACAAATTCCAAAACAGGGATTTGGGGAGGGAACACAAATCCCAACACAAGGGATTTGGGGAGGGAACACAGCAGGGATTTGGGAATGGGAAAACAAGCCCTGGTGCAGGGTTTTGGGAAAGGAACCAAGGCCCAGTACAGGAATTTGGGGAGGGAACACAAATCCCAACACAGGTTTTTGGGGAGGGAACACAAATCCTGACATGAGGATTTGGGGAAAGGGAACACAAATCCCAAAATGGGGATTTGGGAAGGGAAAAAAATCCCTGGGGCAGGGATTTGGGCAGGGAACACAAATCTCAACAAGGGGATTTGGGAAGGGAACACAAATCCCAACACGGGGATTTGGAAAGGGAACACAACAGGGATTTGGGAATGGGAAAATAAGGCCCAGCACAGGGATTTGAGGAGGGAACACAAATCCCAGCACGGGGATTTGGGAAGAGAACACAAATCCCAAAACAGGGATCTGGGAAGGGAACACAACAGGGATTTTGGAATGGGAAAACAAGGCCCAGCACAGGGATTTGAGGAGGGAACACAAATCCCAGCACGGGGATTTGGGGAAGGGAACACAAATCCCAGCAAGGGGATTTGGGGAAGGGAACACAACAGGGATTTGGGAATGGGAAAACAAGCCCTGGTGCAGGGTTTTGGGAAGGGAACAAAGCCCTGGCCCAGGGATTTGGGG